AAAAGAACACATACTGGAGAGAAAACTCATGTATGTAATCAGTGTGGTAAAGGCTTTTCACAACTCAGTGTTCTTCAAGTGCATAAAAGAACACATACTGGAGAGAAACCTTATGTATGCAATCAGTGTGGTAAAGGATGTTCACAACTTAGTAATCTTCAAGTGCATAAAAGAACACATACTGGAGAGAAACCCTATGAATGTAATCAGTGTGGTAAAGGCTTTTCACAAGTCAGTCATCTTAAACAGCATAAAAGAATCCATAGTGGAGAGAAACCCTATAAGTGTAATCAATGTGGTAAAGGTTTTGCACGTCCTAGTAATCTCCAAATGCACAAAAGAACGCATACTGGAGAAAAACCCTATAAATGTAATCAGTGTGGTAAAGGCTTTTCACAACCCAGTCATCTTCAAATGCATAAAATAACACATACTGCAGAAAAACCCTATGAATGTAATCAGTGTGGTAAACTCTTTCCACATCCCAGTAATCTCCAATTACACAAAAGAACACATACTGGAGAGAAACCCTATGCTTGTAATCAGTGTGGTAAAGTCTTTGCAGAACAAAAACGTCTTCAGATACATAATAGAACACATACTAGAGAGAAACCCTATGAATGCAATCAATGTGGTAAAGCCTTTGCGGATCAAAGAATTCTCCGAATACATAAAAGGACACATACTGGAGAGAAACCCTATAAATGTAATCAGTGTGGAAATGCCTTTGCACATAGCTCTCATCTTCAAAGGCATAAAAGGACACATACTGGAGAGAAACCCTATGAATGCAATCAGTGTGGAAAATTCTTTGCTCATCTTTGTTCTCTTCAAAAGCATAAAAGAACACATACTGGAGAGAAACCTTATGAATGTAACCAGTGTGGTAAAGTCTTTGCTCATCTTTATTCTCTTCAAAGGCATAAAAGAACACATACTGGAGAGGAACCCTATGAATTTAATAAGTTTGGTAAGACTACACATCAGTGATCTTCAAAAAAATTAAGATTGTCAACAATCTGGTCAAGCATTTTCATATCTGTCTTTATATAATTGTATCTGAAAACTCATTGAAAAAAATAAATTTATGAATGTATTAAGCCCTATGAGTCTCAACAATAATATTACCCTTTTAGATTTTTGTACTTGAATTACATGAAATGACTAACTCAGGTGTAAAACTTTATGGATTTGTATTAGTGCCTTGTCTGTTTTTGTGATATAATGTCTAGGTCAACTTATAAAAGAGTTTAGTTTGACCCTTGGTTCTAGGGGGATATAGGATCACCATGAAAGTGGCATGGTAACAAGTGTTAGACATGGCAGCTAAAGCAGGAAGCTAAGAACTCAGATCATCAGCTTGAAACATGATGTAGAGTGGGAACTGGAAATGGTGTGCAGATGTAAATTCTCAAAGCCTTCCACCCAGGAACATATTTCCTAAAGCAGGGCAGCAGCATTTCCTAAATCATTCCAATGGACGCCAGCAACTGAATAGGATTGACTTCTCTCACTTCAAGCCTACATTCTTGCTTTCTGTTACACAAACCAATTTATGATAAAGAAAAACTGTGTAAGTGAGCTTGTAGATGCCTCAGCACCTGTGTTATAGAAATGAATGCTTGTAAGAGAAAAACTTTCATGAGTAAAACTTGTTTAAAGATTTGTTTTTCTTTCAATTATGTGGTGTCAGTGCGTTTGTGTGCATATGTGCATCTATATGCTGGTTCCCAAGAAGCTTAGACACTTGGATCTCCCTGTAGCAGGAATTATGGGAAGCCATCCAAAATTGGACCCTGGTCCTGGGAATGAACTTTTCTTAACTGCCCAGCTATGTCTCTAGCCTCCTAAATATTTTAGAACTGACATATTATTTTGATGTCAGGAAATAGGGATGAACT